ATGATGACGATCTGGTTGATAGGGAAGAGGTTGATGCTGCAGGTGTTGCGTTGCCGGAGGGTGATGACGCCGACTTAGTTGAAGCTGAGGTTGAGCCTGTGGACGTTGCGTTGCCTGGAACCGATGACGCCGAGCTGATTGAACTTGAGGAGGTTGGACCTGTGGATGTTGCGTTACCGGAGAGTGATGACATCCATTTCGTCGAAGCTGAGGATGCCTCTGCCACAGAGCGTGACCCGACCGCAGATGCCTCGCAAACTGCTCTACCTCACCCTGAGGATGTTCCTCTGCCGGACACAGATGATGTGGATTTTGCCGAGCCACAAAGCGTGGACTTGCCTGCTCCGGAGACTTCCGCGGCGTCATACCATGCAGACCTCCCTGCTACTGTACTCGGAACTCCAGCACCGCTTGAACCTCAAGAAAATCTTCAAATTCATGCCAACACGGCTACTCGCGAGGCCAAGTCCACAGAGGTTGAACCGCAAACTGGCAAAGAGTCATCTAATCAGGAACCCGAAGTCTCAGCTCCTCTGTCGAAAAAGGAGAAGAAGAAAGCTAAGAAGAAGGCAAAGAAGGCGGGTCTCGAGAAGACGGAGCCTGCTGATTCTGCTATCGTCTCTCTCGGAGAGTCGCAAGATCCATCGGTGGCTGAACAGCCTATTAAATCTACAACATCAGTTGGGATTTCCCAGGATCTCGCACTGCTTGCCCAGTCAACTGATGCGCAACCAACCGAATCTCAGGGTACGGAAGGGAGTCAAGAGCATACAATCTCGCTTGAAACTTCTCAGGACCTCGAACCGTTTCCCCGGCCAACTGATGTCCAACCAACCGAATCTCAGGCCGCGGAAGAGACTCAAGGACCTCAGGCAAAGAATGATGAAGTACCCCAACCGGCGCCGTCGATGTCTAGGAAGGAGGGGAAGAAGGCCAAGAAGGGAAAGAAAGCTGCGCTTGCCGAAACTGACGCAGTTAACCCGGCTGTTGAGTCACCCACTGCGAAGGAATTAGAGGCGCCACTGGAGGTAGTAGAGGAGGTCATAGAGCGAAAAATTGGTGTTCAAGACGACGAACTTGTGGCTGGTATACAAGAAGAAGGGCTGGCTGCCGGAGAGAAGCAGCTTCCTGCTAAAGGGGAGGAAGGGGGCCTTTCTGCGAGAGACGAACATCTCCCAGCCAAAGACGAAGATCTTCCAGCTAAAAATGACGTTCCAGCCGAAGTAGCCCTTTCAGCCCAACAAGACCTCCCAGCCACGGAAGACGTCCATGCTAAAGAATACCTGCCAGCCACGGAAGACGCTCCAGTTAAAGGAGCTCTCCCAGACAATGATGGCCTCACGGCAAAAGAAGACCTTCCGATCAAGAATGATCTCCCAGCCAAAGAAGACCTCCCTGCCAGCTGGGCCTCGATGTCCAAGAAAGACAAGAAAAAGGCCAAAAAGGCAAAGAAGGCCAGTTTAGCGAACAGCGCATCTTGTACTCCTTCTGCGACACCAGCTACGCCTGCCGAAGAGGAGAAAGTGGAGCTTGCTGAAAGGTCTCAGGAGCAACCTGCCAATGAGACCGTAGCGGAGACTGCAGCAGAGCCTTCAAAGTCCGAAGAACTTCCCGGAGAGCAGCTCCAAGGTGAGGGCCCCGTTTTGTCGAAACAGCAAAGGAAGAATGCGAAAAAAGGGAGAAAAGGTTCGGCCGTTATTGAGGCGCCGTTTGACGAAGCCATGAGCGAGGTGCAGGCTGGCGATAGTGTTGAAGCTTCTGTCCCTTTGAACAAACCGAGAGCGAGTCTGGAAGGTGAAATTAGCATTGTAAAAGACTCGCAGACGGAGAATGATGCTCTTGGCTCTCTTGCCGGTGCTGAACTTCATGCCGCCGAAGGCATCTCTCAACCTTCAGACGAAGCAGACAAGGCTGCTCGGACTCAAGATGAATCTGAGTCCAACACTGTCGTAACGGACACCGAGGAACGCGCCAGCCCTGATGACGGTTCCGCCATCGCAAAGAAGGAAAACTTGCTCGAGAATCTCTCTTTTCCATCTGGCGAAGCCGAAACCCCCTCTATTAACGAACGGTCCGGCCTACGAAGCGAGGCCCGAGACGTCGCGGCTGAAGAACAAGCGCCGACAGACACCAAGGCGGCAAAGAAGAACAAGAAAAAGAAGAAAAAGAACCGACAATCTGTCGTTGAGGATTCTGCGCCCGCAACCCCGCTGAGCGAGGAGGTTGATTCGCCTTTTCCTGCTGCAGAGACATCGGATGTTCAGCCTGCTGGTGATGCCTTGCCTGAAGAGTCTTTGACAGAACTGGAAAGCAAGAAGGAACAGGAAGTCCAGTCTGAACCGCTCCCAACACAGGCAGCGATTGCAGTCCCACTTGAATCAGATGCGGTTCCCAAGATCTCAGCGCTGAAGACTCCCGTCGAGGCTGAGGAGCCCGCAGCAGAGGAAGCGTTCAGCAAGCCTTCGAAAAAAGACAAGAAGAAGGAGGGAAAGAAAAAACAGTTATCCATCAATGAAGCGACGCCTACCACTCCCGTCCTTGAGACTGTGGTTGCCGACAAACCGCCTACTGAGCCCGCATCTGCCAATGAAGATGCCTCAGCAGAGGCTCCTGCACGTGGTGAAGCTGTCTCTGTTGAACCCACTGAGTCTCCGGTCGAAACTACTCAGGAATTCGTAGCCGAAGTGTCCTCTGAAGCTAAAGACCTTGCGATGAAAGAGCCCGTGGATCCTGTTACGAAAGGAAAAGAGGGTAAGGAGGAAGACCACAAGGCCACGGCTGCGGCCGAGGAGCCTGTGCCTCTTACCACAGAAGAATCTGAGTCTCAAATTGCCGTCGAGGAACCAGCTGCCAACACCCCCATATCTGAAGATGTCCCTCTTGCCAGCATATCTAAAGATGCTGTCCCGTCCGAATCTCAACCAGACCTCCCGGAATCTCTACCCGAGCTACCGCCTCCAACTCCCAGCGAAGGTTCAGTCCTTGCGATGGAAAGTGTTGGAGAACTTGTGAAGGAAGGTAAGAAGCGTAAGAAGGCGAAGAAGCAACAACCGGTTGTCGTCGAAGAGGAGCCTGCCCCTGACACTCAGAGCGCGGAAAATAAACAAGGTGACCCGGAGACGACTGGTCCTGATGCCCTTGAAGAAGATGTGGCTGCGGATAATGATGTTACGCATCCGGAAGCCCTGCCTGAGATCCCACCTGCAGCTCCTGGCGAGGTTCAAGATACGCAAATTGCAATTAGCGACTCGAAGGAGGTTCCGTCTGAAACTACAATGGAGACGACTACCCAGGTGCAAGACTCGCCGGTTCATGAAGTCTCTGAACCTTCGAAGAAGGGGAAGAAGAACAAGAACCGCAAGAAAAGACAGTCTTCACTCGAGGCCTCCGCAGCTGAAGTGACGGAGAGTAAACCTAACGAGAAGCCTGATCCAGTCGATATACCCTTGCCAGTGACGCCGGCCGTAGAAGTTCACGCTTCTGAACCTCAAGAATTTACATCAGGTGCGGCAAACGCAGCCTCAGAGCCGGCGGACGAAGCGGCATCGACAAGCGAAGAAGCACCTACGGCATTGTCTGATGCGGTCGAATCACCCTTACCTCCAACTCCAGCAGAAGATATCCCTACAATAACAGATCCTCAGGGGTCTGGCGCAGATACAATCGAGGCGCCTACAAAAAAGGGCAAGAAGAAGAAAAAAGCCAAGAACCGGCAGTCCCTTCTCGACCAACCCACCGCTGATGTTTCTGCCACTTCTACCGAGCCTGAGGCGCGACCAGCTGATCTTGTCGATAATCGCAGTCAGGTTGACGCTGTCGAGGTTGCTGTTCCTGTCACCCCAGCTGCGGAAGAGGTGCTTATCGAGTCTGAGGCGCCACCAGCAGATTTTCTCGACGATCGCAGTCAGGTAGAACCTGTCGGGGTCGCTTTACCGCCCACAGCTGCGGAGGAGGCGCCTATCGAGCCTAACCTAACCGGAGCTCCAGACATGCGGGAATTGCCAGTGAAAGCTCCTGAGCCACCGATCGCAGCAGCTGTTGTTGAAGAAGAGAAAGCCATTGACGGAGATGACCTTGACGGAGATGACCTTGATGTTTCTACTTCCTCAAAGAAAGAGAAAAAAAGCAAAGACGCAAAAAGACAACCTGCCTCTGAGGAATCACCCCTAGTGCTGAGTGCACCAGAAGCTGAATCGGATGTCGCGCCCAAGACAGCGGAAGAGGCATCTGCGGAACTTGTTGAGGTAGTTGCTCCCGGCGAAGCCGCCGAAGAAATCACATCTCAGAGCATCCGTGAGGAGTCACCTACAAAAACCGATGCGGAGCGCGATGGGCAATCAAAGCAGTTGGAGGCTGGTTCTCAGCCCGTCGAGAGCAATGCCGAGCCTATTGCAGTTGGGCCGGGAACTCCTACAATTACCAGAGAATCTAGTTTAGAGACAGAGCCCTCCGAAACATTGCCGCTGCAAGAGCCGAAGCCGCTTCCAGAAGAAAACGACATTTCCACTTCTACATCGAAAAAGAATAAGAGGAAAAAGAAGAAAGACAAGAAGCAATCTGGAACAGCTACTCCGGCTGAAGAGAACGTTTCCGAGGCTGTAGGCTCTGAGCAATTGTCGGAGCCGATTGGAACTGTACACCCACCGACTCCTCCTCCTGCGGATGTGCGGTCACCAGTACAGGAGATCGTACCTGACGTCGTTGCACCCGAGGAACACGCATCATCTTCTCTAGATACCCAGCCAACAACCGTCCTGGAGGAAGTTGCGCCTGTCGAACCGGAAATCACCCCGCTCCTGTCTAAGAAGGACAGGAAAAAGGCCAAGAAAAAGGGCAAGCAATCCGGGACGGCGACTCCAGCTGAGCAAGTCGTGCCTGAGGTCAAAGCGGAGGATGTGATCTCTGAAGAGCATGCAACGGAGGCCGTTCCTGAGTTGGGAGCAGATGTGGGCACCCCCGAGATTCAAACAAAGGATGTGGTTCCTGAGATTCCGGAAGTAAAGCCAGCAGATGATTCCCTTCAAACATCAGCCTCTCCTTCACTCGAAGCTCAACCTGCACCGACAACAGTAGAGGCCGAACTGGCTACGCCTGCTGAAGAAGCTGCCCCTGCTGAGAAAGCTGGCCCTGCTGAGAAACCTGCACCCGTGCAGGAACCCGCACCTGTCGAAGATGGACGGGCTACCGGAACGTCTAAGAAGGCAAAGAAGAAAGCTAAGAAGGCAAGAGGGAAGCAATCTGGGACTGCTACTCCGGTCTCCGAAAAAGAACCTGAAGGTTCCACCCTAAACGAGATTGCGGAAAAGTCAGTTGTCGAATCAGTCGAGTCGGCCGAAACTGGCGCAGCTGTAGAGGAAGAAAAGCCAGTTGTTCAAGATCCAGTGCCGGCAGACGCGGCAGCCGAAGTATCCGTGGACTCCAGCAGCAAAGACCAAGGATCGCCTCCGAACGAGGCGCATCACGATCATGCCTCTGTAGAGGGAGTTCCCCCGACCGAGCTCGAACCCATTATGCACCTCGAGGATATCACCTCAAGCAAAGATACCGAAGACGGTCAGAAGCCTAAGCTCGACAGGAAGCTCAGCAAGAAGGAAAAGAGGGCTCAGAAAAAGCAGGCCACCGCAGTTGCTTCTGAGGATGCGGTATCGGGGCCTGCAGCGGAAAGTTCGGTCGATGCGCCTCCGTCGCTCGAAGAGCCGCCTTCTCAGGATGTTGAGACCAGTGTAGAGGCGTTGAAAGGCGACAATATTGCTAAAGAGCAGGCCCAAATAGCTCTAGAGGATATCGCCGTCTCTGAACCATCTGCGGCTGTTAAAGTCCCTAGTGAAGAGCTACTCGTTGAAGAGGCTCCACTTGGAGACGAGTCGTCATCAACTCCCACCTCTAAGAAATCATCGAAAGACAAGAAGAGGAAAAAGACCAAAACCCGGGCTGGTTTGGTTACGCAGTCTCAAGATACAAATGTGAAACCTATTGAGACTCCCGTAGAAGAGATACCTCCTCCCATAGAGGCAGCCGGATCCCTCGAGTCAAGTGAACAAGTGGCTGAGGTCGTCGCTACTCCTGCCCAGCCGGTAGACGCGGATTTCACAGCTGACGAACCTACCGATGTGCTCCTTCCAGAACAAAGCAAGACCGCCGTAACAGAAGCTGAACCACAGACAGGCGCAGACTTCAAGTCCGCTGAAGATGCTCCCCAATTGACAACGCAACAAGAGTCCAAGCCCCTACTAGAGACTGCAGCACTCGTCAATGAAGAGGTCAAAATCGAAGAGTCTGAACCGTCCAGCAAGAAACTGTCCAAGAAGGCAAAGAGAGCCGCAGCGAAGAAAGCCAAAGCTAGTGAGAAGGATGGGTCTACTCCCACTGCTACACCTGACGAAACCGCCTTGCCAACCCCAATACAACCCCAAGAGACCGTTGTAGCTCCAGTTTCTCCGGAGCCTTCGGAGAAGGCACCCGTCCCTGAGTCCACTGATATCCCTGCTCTCGAGTCTGCTGATATCCCTGCTCCTGAGCCTGCTGAAGTCGCTGCTCCTGAGTCCACTGAAGTAATCGCTACTGAGCATGCCGAAGTTCCCGCTCCTGAGTCCGCTGGCGTCCCTGTTCCTGAATCCGCTGAACTCCTTGCTCCTGAGTTCTCCAAAGTAAATGCGCCTGAATCCACAGAATTGGTTGCCGAAGGAATCTTGACCACGGATTCCGCCCAGCCCGAGTCGAAACCGGAGGAAGATGTATCCGGAACCAAGAAATCTAAGAAAGACAAAAAGAAAAAGAATAAGAAGAGTGCTTCGACCTCTGGGACGGCTACGCCTATCGTCGAAAAAGAACCTGAAAGCATTGTGGAGCCCTCAAGGGTTGAGGATGACAAAGCTCTCGAGGTCACTGCCGATACGAGTCCTGTCGATGATGGTGCTCGTAATATTGCGCTTCAAGATGCCTCAGACACGACGCCCGAATTGCATCCTGCTGTTGTCCCTGAAGGCGACACCTCAACGCCTCATACAGTAGATGAAATGGCTGGGACGTCAACAGAGCCGCCGCATACCTCTCCAGATCTGGCCTCTATCCCTGAGCAAGTGCAGAACGAAGACCTATCCGTACCTAAAGAGGAGATCTCAGCCCCTTCACCCTCTAAGAAAAGCAAGAAAAAGAAGCTTAAGAAGGGAAAGGGGAGCGATGATGTAGATGAGGAACCTTCAACCCCGGTCGAACATAGTTCGAGAGAAGCTCAGCCGACGTTATCTGCAGATACTCTGGATGTCAAGGTTAAGGAAACAGATCCAACTGCCACGTCTGCTGACCTTCCGATCCCGTCCCATACACCACTCGAGCAGACCGCTTCTCCAACGCACCCTGAAGAACCTCTCCCAGCCCCAGAAGGCCAGCCACCAATCGCCGACCCCCAAGATCTTTCACCTTCCCTTAAAGCCCTGCATGACGAACTTGCCGACTTCAAAGCACGATCAGAAGCGCTAGACCTAGCTTTGAATGAGCCAGATGCCGCGCCAGAGTCTTCGGCGACGCCATCTTTTTCAAGCTTTTTTGACATTGTCGGCAAGCTCACCAAAAAGGAGAAGAAGAAAGGGAAGAAGGGGAAAGGCACATCGGTCGAAATCTCCGAACCCGTGACACCTACGGTGGAAGAAGAAAGCGTGCTTACCGCCGAGGAGAAGCTACCGGCAATTACTTCGCATGATGCTGATCCAGCTATGAACTCGTCCGCAGATCTCGGGAGCGATCCACTTGACATTGTGGCACCTACTGATGTCGCTTCCGCCGAAGCCCCTTCTGAACACGTTGCTCAACCTGAAGCAGAACAGCAGCCTGCTGTAGAAGACGCCCCTGCTCCAAAGCCCAGCAAAAAAGAGAAGAGGAAGAAGAAAAAGGCTGGGCTAGAATCCCCCGCTGTGCAAGAGGAGACAGAAACTCCAACCAGTTCAGCGAGTAATGAAGAGCCTGCGATTGCGCAAGAAGAGCAGGAGAGCATTGCTGAGCGTCAAGTGGAAGAGGCTGCCGTGGAACAGGCTTCCCTGGAAGAACCAGTGGCAAAAGAACATGCAGTTGCAGATACTCCAGAGGAAGCACCACTTGCAGAGACGTCTCTCGAACCGACTGCAGAAGAGTCTAGCATTCAAGAGCTAGTCGAGAAGGAAGCGGTGATTGGACAGCCGGACAGTCAAGAACCTTCTTCAGAGCAGCTAATGGCCCCGGAATCACCAAAGGTAGAGCTGGGTGATACAGACAACACGATTCCCTCCCGCAAATTGAGCAAGAAGGACAGGAAGAAGAAGAAGGGCAAAGCAGCAGCCTTGAGTGTGGACGAGCCCGTTTTGGAGAGGCAGGCTGAGCACCATGGCCATGAAGGGGGCGCTGAGGAAGTTAAGGCGGAACAGAATGCTGTTGAAGAGCCTGTACTTAGTGAAAAACCCGTGGCTGTTGAGGAGTCAGGTTCCACTGGACTGTCAGGCGAGAGGTCAACTGGTCTTGAAGAGCCCGCCGTTATCGAGTCGCCAGGAGTTGTCGAAGAGCCAGCAATTGTCGAAAAGCCCGCGGTCGCCGAAGAGGCAGTTTTGGAAGAGCCTCCAGTCTTGACCACGAAATCAAGCAAGAAATCAAGTAAGAGGGACAAGAAGAAGGCGAAGGCCGCAGCAGCAGCAGCTCTATCTGAACCTTCTTCAAAGGTTGATCGTCAAGCCATTGAAGAAACATCTCTTGAGAAAACTGCTACGGTGGTGGAAGCCTCTGTTGTTGAAGAGGCTGTCGCTGTCGAAGAAGCTCCTGCTGTTGAAGGAGCTGCTGCTGTCGAAGAGACCGCTGCTCTGGTTGACGCTTCTAACATCGCAGAGGCTCCTGCTCTCGAAGAGCCGCCTGCTGTCGAAAAAGCGCCCAATGTCAAAGAATCTGTGGGCGTCGAATTGTCTCCCGCGGTTCTCGCAATCCCAACGGTTGAACAGGCTGTCACGATTGAAGAGCATTCTCCGGCCGCAGAGTCAACTATTGATGCCGAAACTCCTGTCGCCGAGCCAACTACAGTCCAAGAGCCTCCTGCATTCTCGCCTAAACCAAGCGAAAAGGAGGAAAAGGAGCCGACTCTTACTGTCAAAGAAAATCTCGCCGTGGATGAGAGTTCAGTCGAGCAGAGACCAATCATCGAAGAGACTCCCACTGTCGACAAGCCAGTTACTTCTGACGATCCTCCCGCGGATGAGCAAACCCCGATCGATGAACCCCCTACTCTGTCACGCACCACGAACAAGAAGGAGAAGAAAAAATCCAAAGGGGAGGCTAAGGCGCTTGATCATAAAGATATAGGCCGCTCCGAGGCGAAGGAATTGTCTATCGTAGCAGAGAGCGACCTGGCAGAGAACTGCACAGACCAGACCCCCTTGGTTGAGACTTCAGCACCAGAAACCCAGACGGTGGACACTTCCATAGCGAACACTCCTGCGGCGGATATTTCTCCCGTTGAGACTCCCTTGGTTGAGACACCTGCTGCTGAGGAGATGTCTCTTCCTCAGGAATCGTCTCCAGTTGAGCCTGCTCCAGTAGTAGAGGAACGTTCTGTCGAAGACCCTCCCGTTCTGTCAAGCAAGGCAAAGAAAAGGGCTAAGAAGAAAGCCAAAGCTGCCGCTTCTGCACAAATCACTTTTACGGAAACCAGTGGACCAGTCGTTCAAGAGAAGTCTCTAATTGGAGAAGCACCAACTATCAAAGAAGCGGAGATACAGGAGGCCCCTGTCGGTGACGAGGCGCTTGTGGTTAAAGAAGCTTCTGTAGCTGAAGAAGTGCCTCCAGTCGATGAAGAGTCTGTGGCTGAACATGCTGTCCAAAACACCGCCGTGGAAGAGCCGACGTTCGAAGGAGCTACCATGCTCTCCAAAACAGCGAGCAAAAAGAACAAGAAGAAAGCAAAGACTGCTGCCCTCGTCCAAGAGGAACCGTCTACTGACCTTGAGCATGATGTTGTGACGCCGGAATATGGTCCAAATGTGCAAGACGAGCCTACCATATCTGAGCCTCAAACGTCCGGAACGGAGACCCCGGTAACCCTGACCCGCAACATGTCGAAGCGAGCAAAGAAGAAAGCGAAGGCTGCGATGTTGAGAAGTCCCGCGCCGGAGGCTGAAGACGAGGAACGTACTCAAGGCGATATCCAAGCGCCATCAGCTGAAGAGGCCACATCGGTCCCTATCACGCCGATTGCAACCGACACCCTAGTTTCAAGCCAAGACGATTCAAACCAAACATCCGAGGGGTTGCAGATCATGGCTGATTCTGCTGAGGAGCGGTTGGTCCCACAACATGTGCCTTCTGAGCTTGATACTGAAGCTACTGCCCAAGAGACCTTCGCTCTTGAGAAAATGGCCGTTGAGGGTGTTGTCGAGGCGGAGCATGCGGACCAACCGGAGCCCGCTAAAATATCTCGCGAAATTAGCAAGAAAGACAGGAAAGCAGAGCAATCGGGTCTTCGCGGTGAACAGCTAACAGAGATATCCTCGGACAAGCAGGATGCCAATAAAACCGGGGACAGTACTCAGTCTACTTCTATTCTTGACGATGTGATGGCCGTGGTGGACACGCCTGCTGTTTCTGAGGCAGAACCTGTGGCCACTCTGACTGCCGAAGTCGTGCCTGATCGTACACACGGCGAAACCCAGGAAAGAACGGTCAAAGCTGCTGCAGTTGAGGCGCTGGTGGATGATCCTGCATCTACCACTGCACCTAAAGATACGACGCTCGCAGAAATGCAAGAAGGACCATCGACTAGTGAAGAGACTGCGCCAAAGGTTTCGCCAGGACTTCAAAACCGTCTGGAAACTGAGATTTCGGCTGAAACACTTCAAACAAGCCCAGAGGACGTTGCTCTGCCTCAGGCACACGAAGTAGACATGATCGAGCGGGGGGAAGTACTGCCCGTGCCTATTGAGCAGCCGACTTCCAGAGTGGAGGAAAGGGAGGACCAAGAATCAAGTACTTCTCCACCAGGGGAAGATGAGCAATCAGATGCCCCCGTTCCCTCTCGTAAGGGTAGCAAGAAGGGCAAGAAAAAGAAAGGCAAAGCAGCGGCGTTGAACTGGCCAAAGTCTTCTGCACCAATTGATGAGTCCACTGAGATGTCTGGAACACCCTCGCAACCGAAAGAACAACCTGCAGTTGCAGATGTTGCGTCTAAATTGAGCAAGAATGAGAAGAGAAAGGCCAAGAAAAATGCTGTTGCTCTTGATGAAGGTGTCGGCGAAGCGACAGTGGACGAGGAGGCCATCTCGCAACGGGATGACAAGCATGCAGAGATTGTTTCCGAAGCTGTCGAAAAGCCTTCGCCTGCTGCAGAGCTGGAAACAACAGTTCCCGTTGCTGATGCTGATGCGTCAAAAGAACTCCCCGCACCCGATTCTGCTGAGCAGCGCCGGTTGGAGGGACAATTACAACTTCAAGCCAGCCCCTCAACTCAAACGGAACATGAAGTGGAAGCAGCAACATCCGCAGCAACGGAGAGCAACGAGCAGAAGCACGAGACCAATATCGCGCCTGCTCCGGTCGAAGGGCAAGAACCGGTTGCAGAAACTCCTTTGCCGTCCGTCGAAATAACAACCCAGCAACCCACCATCACTGAGTCCGTTACCAATGATCAGCCAACGGCATATGTGGTTGAGTCCGGCAAGGGACCAGAGGAACCCCTAAAAGGAGACAGTGATATCGGAAACGCGGAGCAATCTGTCCCAGATGAGTTTGCATCCTCAACTTCTTCTGCTTTCCAAGAGAAAGATAATGAATCAAAGCTCACCGGTATCGCTAAGCCAAATCTCGAGGGTTCCAGACCAGACCTTGAACCGGGTGTCGCTGACCAGTCACGTTCCGTGTCTGCTGGTGATACTGCTGTACCTGAACCTTCATCTCTTCCTTCCAGACTCTCATCCATCACAGCACCGCCGACGCTCGCTGCTGAAGTACCCGAGCCAACGGCCACGAAACTGGCTAAGAGGAAGAAGCATAAGTTCGCCGCCCTCTTCGAGCCAGATACGCCACAGAAAGATGAACACCCACCTCGGACATTAAGCTCCAGACCCATTCCATCGAAGCTCTCTTCAAGGGGCCCATCACGAGTTTCATCACCAAGTGTTCCAACAGATCCGTTGTTCCAACAAACTGTTGAAGCTCGGCCTACTGAGAAAGAAAAAGCTGCGACCCCTTTGTTTGACGCCAAAACGGAGGTAGCACAAGAGTCTCGTGCACAAACTCCTCAGCCAGACATTGATTTTGCTGCCACAGTAGCCGCAGGTCTTCAACAGTCCGGCTTTGACTCCAACCTCGTTCTCAATGACCCTTCTTTCTACCGCTCCACATCTCCGCCAAATGCTCACGACTTTAGTGCTGATGAGGATGTCGCGGCCGCCAAACAAGAAGCTTCCAGATCTAAATTCAGCGACTTCGGCCGCAACTCGCCCACGCCGGCATCCCCCAGGAGTACGAGTGCGCCTGCAGTGGAAGAAGACACTGCCTCTCCACAGCTGCCGGAGCCTCCTAGTGGCTTTGATCCTCTGGATATCCTCAATGACCCAGTTTTCGCTAGGCGCAGCTCGCCGCCTGGTGTCCTTGAAGAGGCCGATCCGGAGGAACTCTGGCCATCATCGAAAAAGGGGAAGAAGCTCAAAGGGAAGAAGAAAAGGGCCTCCGTCACTAGCACACCAACTAGAAGCGGCGATGTCGCTGATGTTCCTGTGGACATGGCGCCAATAGAGCAGGATGGCAAACTGAGGGTGGCAAAACATCTTTCCGGTCCCCCAATGGAACAAGATTCTACGGCTGAATCTTCAAGGCCTATCCAGCCAGAGCAAACCCCCGAGGCCATCCCCGCCGCGGAGGAGGACGACTTCCGGGCGACGACCGGAAAGGGAAAGGGTAAGAAGGCAAGGAAAGCCAAGAAGAGGGATTCCTCGGCTCTTGACACTACCGAGACTCCCACTGTTTTGCCTCCTGCTGTTGAGACTCCTACGCAGGAGACTCCGGTGGTTGAGGCGCCTGTGGTTGAGACTCTAGTAGTTGAGCCTCCGGTCATTGAGACAAGCCTACCCGAGACGTTTGCCGCGGATGCGGCCACCACTCGCACGTGCCCTGAGCAGACACTTGAGAGACCCGCACTTGCGCTGCCTGGTAGCTCTGAACTTTCTGCACCTGTGCCTGCGCAGCAGGAAGATCAGCCAACGTCCGTCCCAGACTTGGAAGCTCGTGAGGATACCTGGAATGAGCCATCGAGAAAGAAGGAGAAGAAGGGCAAAGGCAAGTCGAAGCGTTCGGACACATTGGAGCAAGCTGTGTATCCGAAAACAGCTTCAGGTACAGTCGCTCCTCTGGCTGAAAACAACAAGGTGAGGGAAATGATCCTCACGGGAGAGGTGGGTGAACAGAAGGCAACAACCGAACGCTTTGCTTCTGTATCGTTAAACGAGGATGGCAAGACGGGAAAAAAGAGCGAGTCAGGTTTAGACGTTCTCGCTGCCGCTGGAGCAGCAGCTCTTGCATCTGCGGCGCTGGATAGTGTCAAGAAGCATACGGACGAGGAGGTGGATCCACCTATCGGAGATCTCGATGACACCACAGAGTTTCCTCCGACGTTTGAAGAGGAGCCGAAGTCATTTGGCAGTGTAGACAGTTCTGGGTACCCGTTCCCTAGGGTGGAGAGTCCTAGCAAGGGGCAGGCGATAGCTGGACAAGGCTTGGACGTGGAAGATGTGGAAACGCATGCAGTTCAAGGACGCGGGAAATTAGATGAGGCGCGAAGAGGCGAGGAGGAAATTTCGAAACTGGACAATGGCAATGAAACAGACGAAAAAAAGGGAATGGCGGAGGGAGGAGTACTTGCTGATGGAGAAAGAGCGGACCCGCCAGGGCATGCGGGATCAAGAGATGTGGTACAAGACATCGACATCCACGTGTCACAAGCGGCTGCACCTGAGCCGCATGTCAAACAAGAAGGATCCTTCGCTATCCCCAACTCAGCACCACGGGGATTCAATAGTGTGTCTGTGGAGGAAGGGTCGTCAGCCAAAAAGCCTAGCATCATCATCTCGCCAAACACCAGAGTTGCCAAGAGACGAGACCATCCCGTAACGACGCCTGAGGAACAGCCAGAGGAGAAGCGTCTACATGTTCTGGAGCCTGTATCCAGCTCGATCGAGCCAATCTCGTCAGAAGCTGCTCCGGTGGCCGTTCAAGCGCAGCCATTTGCCAATGAGCCGGCATGGTCTTTTGGTGGAATCCGAGACAGTGCTGTACACGTGGTCGACTCGCCTGTCGTCGCAGCCGCCCCACAAACCGCAGAAAATGTCCGCGACAGCGGCTATCACGATGCAGGTTATAGCCCGTCACTTGAGGAGCATCTGCAACAGGAGAAAGAATGGCCATCTTCAACAATAACACAATCGCCAACAACAGAGCCGCGACACGCCACCACAGACCGGGCACTGGTCCATTTGGAGGATGGAGAAAGCAGGTCACGAAGCCCGTCGCTCCCCGAAATCCCGGATGCATCGGTGATAAATGCCATCACCTCGCCTTCGGCCATCGATTCGGCCACGAAAGAGCGAACTTCATACCTTTTCGATTCGTCGCCTTCCACGCGGGCGCCATACACTGAGTCACCCTCGATCAGTGCAAAGACTCGCTCGTATGAGCCAGATCCGTTTGGCTCGCCGGTCCAACGGCGCAAAGATATCAGGACTGCAAGCTCGGTTGGGCACAAGAACCAGAGACACGGGGACGTTTCGTACGAAGCCCCCACCAGCAGCCCGTTGGCAGAAGGATTCACTTCTCCCACCAAGGAGACTAAGCGGCCGAAATCCACAACCCTTGCAGATCCAGGAGAGAAGGCATCAGACAAAGCGACTCTTCAGACGACTCCATCAAGACATGCCAGGTCCACCAATCCAAACCTGGACACGATCAAGGAGTTTAGCAGCCCAGATGAATCTCCACTGCAGAAGAAGAGCCGCAATATCACAGACGTAGGCGCCCCTGAGCGAGGCGTGAAGTCTGCCCGACGGATTCCCAGTAGCAGGTCCTTCTCTGAACGATTGAAATCCTCTCCTCCAGAGACACCACAGCCACTTCGTGACGGGAAAAGTGCTCATTTCGTTACGCCAGTCAGAGAAGCGCCAACTAAGGACTCGCCATGGCATCAAGTGCACGAAAGTGTCGACCGTAGCTTGACGCTGAGCCCAGCACGAAGACTTGCTTTTGGTTCCCCTCCTGAGACGGACCCGGCAAAGCAACGCCTTGGGGAGCACAGGTCCCCAAGCGTGTTGAGCGACCGTTCCATCCACAGGACACCGGAACATCTTCGAACACTCAGCGCAGCAAGCAACCGGTCTGCCACTCCACCTCTGCGCCGAGTGGATAGAAGCAGGTCAGGTGATCTACGAGCTGCAGCCAAGCTTGGCGAGGCCAAAGCGCAGAACGGTAAGACGACGACGCATCCCACCTTCTCAGACGTCGCCCTCGCTGCTGGCGCGACCGCCGCCATCGCCGCCGTGGGCATCGCGAGCGCATCTAATCATCAAGACGGACCTGTCGCAGATAGAAACACGGGTCGCGCCGGCATGCCTGATGTATATGTAAGTAATCCCGCCTGTGATCATTTTCGTGTTGTTGTTTTGATCCCGAGTGCTGACAGCTGTCTGTGCAGGAGGCATGGGGCGAGGCCCAGGGTTCGCCAATGTCGCCAACACGCCCACCCAGCGTGCGAAAGCGACAGAGCATGCAGATTATGGATTTGCAGTCGCAGCTCGAGCATCTGACTGCGCAAAACAAATCACTCGAAGAAGCCAAAGCCAAGGCTGAAGAGGCCATTCAGCAAGCCCAGTACCAGCGGCAAGTCGAGGAGCAGGTCATTACAGAGGCGGTGCAAGCACGTGATCGCGAGATCCAGCAGAAGGATATCGATATAGCACAACTCCGCGACACGTTGCGACAACTGCAACAAGAGGTGGCGAGGTTAACCGAGCTGAACACTGCTCTAACTGAAGCGGGCAACAACTTGAAAAATGAAACCGATCAGCGATTGGCACAGCTGCAGACGGAAGGAGAACATGTTCATCACCAATGGCAAGAAGCCACTCGCGAGCTCGAGGCACTGCGGGCCCAGCATGCCCAGTTGACGAGCGGTATGGAAGAAGCTGTGCGTGGGCAGATTGCGCTTGCACTGGACGACCGCGATGCCGAAATCGCTCGCCTGCAGACGGAGCTGGCCAACGCAAGGGAGCAGATCAAGTCTCTCCAGCGGCAGATACTGGCGTCCAAGAAACAAGGAGAGAGCTTCCTCACCATCCGAGACGAGGACTACTTTGACAGCGCCTGCCAACAACTCTGCCAGCATGTGCAGCAATGGGTGCTCCGATTCTCAAAGTTCTCAGACAACCGGGCCTGTCGCCTATCGTCTGAAATCGCAAACGACGTCAGGCTCGACAGAGCCACGCGAGAGAAGATCGAGACGCGTCTGGATAATGCCATCTTGGACGGCTCTGATGTGGACATGCTCTTGGCCGACCGTGTGAAGCGGAGAGATGTCTTCATGTCGGTGGTTATGACGATGATTTGGGAGTATGTGTTTACGAGGTATCTGTTTGGCATGGACAGAGAACAGCGACAGAAGCTCAAGTCGCTAGAGAAGACGCTGTCGGAAGTTGGTAAGTTTTCACTGGTCTTTGTCTTCATACAAGTTCTAATCCTGTCCCAGGCCCGACACGAGCAGTGGCTCAATGGCGTGCAATCACACTCACGCTGCTCTCCAAGCGTGAACAATTCATCCAACAACGCGCGCAAGACACAGAGGCAGTGGTCCACGAAATCTATAGTACCCTGGCGGTGCTACTACCACCACCATCGCATCTTCAACGCCAGATCCAAGAATCACTCCGAAACGTCATGCGTCTGGCGGTTGAACTTTCAATCGAGATGCGCACGCAACGCGCAGAGTACATTATGCTTCCCCCCCTACAACCCGAGTACGACACCAATGGCGACTTGGTCGCAAAAGTCACCTTCAACGCTTCACTCATGAACGAGCGCTCCGGCGAAACCACGTCCAACGATGAACTGGAAGCGCGCGGTGCGATTGTCAAAATGGTGCTGTTCCCGCTGGTAGTCAAGAAAGGCGACGACTTTGGAGAAGGCGAGGACGAAATTGTGGTCTGCCCCGCACAGGTCCTCGTAGCGAAGCCGAAGGATAAAAAGGTGGTGAGGGTGTTGAGTGGCGCTATGAGTAGCCATCAGAAGAGTTCGCTGAGCTTGGCAGCGCCGGAGAGCAGTGTGATGGATCTTTCTGGGAGTAATGTCTTTTAGGTAGAGTTTAGTTTTGCATGGATGGGATGGAGGTATAGTTTGATTTTGGGCGCTGGGGACTGGGGTTTTCCCTTTTCAGGTTTCTTTTGGTTTCTACGTTTTGCTGTGTAATGACTCTTTCTCTGTAATATTTTCCAATCGTACACATACTGCCGCAAATCAGTGTCTTGGGAGAGACTTGAAACGTTTCCCTCTGCTCGTCCCAATCAGGCAATATTCGAGAGCATCACAAGTCGCCGGACCCGACTCCGCCAGCCTCGGTTATGGGGGAAACGGCGCCAACCCCCGCATGCACTTGAGCGGAGCCCGGAACGGGAAGACAAGGGTTTTAGATGCCCGAGAACAGTTACACGAGCTCGGGGTTATTGGGGGCGCGGAGCTTCAAAACGAGGTCCGCCGTCCTGCCCGAGGGGGGCCGTGAGGGGGTTCTTGGGTTTCCCACATTCTCACCATCTTTCTTTGTCGCTCACATATCTGCAATACCTGGATCCTACACACTCGCCGTCCGATATGCCGATCCGTAGCGAGTGGCAGCTTGCGCGTGAGGGTATGGCCGTTTGCTCCTCTCCAACTTCCGCTTTTTCCCTCCCTTTTTCCCTCTAACTACCGACCACTCCTCTTTTATCATGAACTAACCCTCTCCCAGGCGTCACGGGCGACACCCTCGCCCGTGCCCTCAGACACACCGTCCTCAACCCCCTCTTCACCGTCCCCCTCCTCCTCGCCGCTCGCTACCACCCCGAAGGCTCGCGCCTCGCTGCTGGGAACCCCGGACTGTACAGGTACCTTAAGATTGCCGCTGGGCTGGGAGTACTGCAGTGGGTGCGGGAGTGGTTGGACAATGGCGTGACGAATAATTGGGTCAATGATCGGTACGATTGGAGCAAGGAGGTGGTGGTTGTGACGGGCGGGAGTGATGGGATTGGAAGGATTGTGGTCGAGAGGTTGGCGGAGAGGGGGGTCAAGGTTGCCGTGTTGGATGTGCAGGGGTTGACTTACGAGGGTGAGCACTGTTTTTCAGAAAGACAGAATGTGAAGAAAGACTTGAGACTAACGGAATGATATCCAGCACCCCCGACAGTCCGCTACTTCCACGTCGACCTCGCCTCGAAACCCTCCATTGAAAAAGTCTGCGCCCAAGTCAAAGCCACGCTCGGCAACCCGACCGTCCTGATCAACAATGCCGGCGCCGCGCGCGGCAAATCCATCCTCGACAGCACCGAGAAGGACATCAAGCTGACCTTCAACGTCAACGCCCTCAGCCACTACTTCCTCGTGCAGCAGTTCCTGCCCAGCATGATCGAGCGCAACCACGGCATGATTGTCACCGTCGCCAGCATGGCCGCCTACGTCGCCGCGCCCAACATGGTCGACTATGCCGCGAGCAAGGCCGCCGCGCTGGCCTTCCATGAGGGTCTGTCCGCAGAGCTCGCCACCGTGTACAAGGCCCCGCGTATCCGGACCGTGCTCATGGCACAGGGATACACGCGCACCAAGCTCTTCGAGGGATTCCAGGGTCGCGCGTTGTATCCCGAGACGGTGGCCGACGAGATTGTCAGGGCCGTGTTCGCGGGCAAGTCGAAGCATATCATTTTGCCCGAGAGCGGGTGGTTGCTGGTGCCGAGGATTCGGTCGTTGCCGCTGTTCATGCAGTATGGGCTGCGGAAGAGGCTGGTCAAGTTGATGTCGAGGTGGCAGGGACGGCAGGTGGTGCAGCCGAGTTTGGACAAGGGAGAGGAGGTGGAGAGGAAAGTGGAGGAGAGCGCTGTGTTGGTGTCTGAGGGCCAGTAGAGTATAAAGTGCGTATTTGGGGTATTTGCTTGAGAGTTAGCCAAAGGGAATACCAATGCCTCGTATCTCTTTCTCTCCTCGTACATATCCGTCTAGCTCCACCATGCACCACCAAAACCAAACCACCTTAATTAGCATCCCTATACTTCCTCCAAACCATCGTACTCCTCGTCCCCAACACTGGATTCTCAAAATCCCCCTCCCTCGTCTCCACATACACAAACCCGGCCTTCGCCAACACCCGCTGACTAGCCACCAACTCGGTATCCGTCAGCGCCTCGGCATACTCGAACCTCTCCGTCCCATCCTCGCCATCATAATGCGCAAAGAAGAGCGGCAGGAACACCCTCAGCGCTTCCGTTGCATACCCCTTCCCCCAGTAGTCTCGGTGGAACATGTATCCGATTTCGGGGGCTCGCACCGCGCCCATCAACCCGATGACGCGGGTACCCTCGCGCGGTGGGGGATCGGGGCACGAAGGTAGGAGCTCGACGCAGAAGTTCCAGCAGTTGAGGCGCGTGTGGCAACCTTGGATCCATTCTTTGGATTTTTCGACGTCGTTGCAGGGTTTTATCGGCCTGGGGAGGAGTATCAAGGTCGAGTTAGGAGGTTTCTTATTTTTGGAGGAGTGGGGGGGATGTACGTGTGCTTCATGACTTCGGGGTCGGAGCGCATGAGGTTCACGGCGGGAGCGTCGGAGAGGAGGAGTGGGCGGAGGAGGAGGCGTTCGGATTGCGCGGCGATGGATGGGGATACGAGGACCATTGCTGCGGTTGAGGGGAAGAGAGGACGGGGAGAGCCATGCTGGGTGTGTGTGGAGGGCAGAAACTTTTATATCGGCTTTTTTGAGTCAGCGGTGAGGTTTACCAGCAAGGGTTTCTGCATGAGGTGATGTGCATTTTGGATATCTGGAAAAGCCGCTAGCCATATTAGGTAATCGTCAACGACACGCCTCCAACCACACCTCACCATCCCGAACCGATTAAACAGCAGAGCATTCACCGTCTCAGCTCTGCTCAGCAGCCAAAAGTGCACATTCTCTCACCGCTCCCTGCTTCCCCCCATGGACCGCCAGCCCACATGCCAGACACCACGCTCTCTACCTCCGCCAAAGGAGCAACCTTCCTCATCCTCCAACAACTAACTTCACGCCTCCTCACCTTCACCGCCAACCAGATCCTCCTCCGCTTCCTCTCCCCCGTCCTCCTAGGCGTCTCCGCACAATTGGAACTCTTTTCCATCTCCGTATTATACTTTGCCCGGGAAAGCCTGCGCGTGGCTTTGCAGCGCCAAGCCCCCTCCCTCCAGGCCCTTATCAATCTATCCTATCTGGCCATTGTCTCGGGGATTCCCCTGATTCTGATACTTTCATCTCTCTGGATCAGCAGTGCAGACACGCTCAATGTGCCGTATTTTCCAGCAGCACTCCGTCTCTACAGCCTCGCCACGTTCCTGGAACTCCTGACCGAGCCCGCCTTCGCCGCCGTGCAGCAGCGCTTCGTGTATCGCATTCGGGCGAGTGCGGAGAGCACCGCGACGCTGCTAAGATGTCTCGGGACGTGTGGGGTTGCGATTTGGGGGAATAGCAGGGGAGTGGATGTGGGTGTTTTGCCGTTTGCCGTCGGCCAGTTGAGTTATGCCATCACTCTTTTGGTGGTATATATCTATCAGATTGCGCCCGTCGTGCGGGAGTCTGGAGTTTCTCTTCTCCCTAGGAGGATTAAGACGGAGAAAGAGGCGGAGGCGCAAGTGGTGGGTGGCTATATATCTATGCCGCTGCTGCGATTGACGGGCAGTTTGACGTTGCAGTCGACACTCAAGTATGTGCTTACGCAGGGGGATGGACTGATTGTGGCGAGCTTGGTGTCGTTGGAGGAGCAAGGGGCGTATGCTTTGGCGGCGAATTATGGAGGACTCATTGCGAGGATGGTGTTTCAGCCCGTGGAGGAGAGCGGGAGGAATCTGTTTGGAAGGGTTTGTGGGGAGGGGGAGGCGAAGGGAAGGAAAAAGGAAGCATCTCCTCCGTCTGATTCTTCTTCTTCTTCTCCTCCTTCTCCGGCCCCATCCACTTCTAAACCCTCATCACCTCCCAAACCCGAAACCTCAAAACCCCCCTCCCAACCCCTCACCCAAGCCTACTCCACCCTAACCCTCCTCCTCCACCTCTACACCCTCGTCTCCCTTTTCTCCATCACCCTCGGCCCCCCTCTCTCCTCCCCTCTTCTCTCCCTCCTCGCAGGCCCCAAATGGTCCTCCACACCCGCCCCCTGCCTCCTCGCCGCATACACCTACTACATCCCCTTCCTCGCCCTCAACGGCATCACCGAAGCCTTCGTCTCTGCCGTCGCGACCAGCAAACAGCTCCACATGCAGTCCCTCTCCATGGGCATATTCTTCATCCTCTTCGCTGCAACAGCGTGGGTCGGCATCGATGACCAGTGGGGCCTGGGGTTGGGCGGGAGGGGAGTCGTGTTGGCGAATTGTGTGAATCTGGGGTGTCGGGTTGTTTGGAATTGGGCTTTTATCAAGCGCTGGTTTGGGGAGAGGGGGGTTGAGGTTAGGATTGCGGATGTGTTGCCTAGTAAGTATAGTGTTGCGGGGGCGGTGGTGGTGCCGAGTCTTATGGGGTGGAGGTGGGGTGGGAGTGTGCTGGGGAGGTATGGTGTGTTGGGGGAGTTGGTGAGGTTGGGTGTTGTGGCGGGGGCGTTTGTGGGATATGTGGGTTGGTGTGAGAGGGGGTTTCTGAGGGGTGTTTGGGAGGTGGTGAGTGGTGGGAGGTGATGAGGGAGGAATGGAGGAATGTGGAGGGGAATAGCTAGGATTTCAGAAGTCACATCAATGAGTGAGTTTCGAGCATCAATGAAAGTCAATCTTGGAAACCCTTCTTGTCCAGACCCGGCATTCACACTTTTCATGCGCTGGAGGCGTCCGCCGCTTAAACCTTACCCGAAGGAGGGCAAATTTAGAAGATTGCGAACTATTTTTTAATGAAAGAGCAAGGAACTAGATTGGCAGGGTTTGCCTCGAACGTTGCGTTGCACTAGCAACGACCTGAAGTCGGATGTTTAGCAGGCGTATGAGATGGTATCCCCCCGCCATCGAAACGATTCCGCCATCGCCATCCTGGAGCGTCTTCAATCTTCTCTCCCCAAGGTTATCGTATATACAGCCAAAGGATGCTTTCCGTAGTTCGTCAGGGTTAGCTTTTATGCCTTCAAAACCCCAAGAAATCGTACCGTCAACAACAAGAAATTACGTTGGGCGGTCCAGTGCAACTATGTGCCGCTCTCAGCCCAAAACACAGGTTGTGGGATTTGTTCGAGCGGTATAGCTATAGATTATAGGCAACCATAACTTCAGACGGGGCTAGCTGCTTGGCGAAGCCTCGGAAGTATATTCAAACCACCCTGGGAAGCAGGAAACCCATTTCCCATACCCTATTGAACTACGGCCCCTACCATCCGCCTTCATTTGTTCTCGCTCCTTTCTTGCCTCCAAATAAGAAGATCTTCCCTGGGAAACCCTTGACCTTCCGTAACCCGAGTCACCACATCATGGCATCCATGGCGGAACGTATCCGTATGGACCTCCTGTACCGACTGCGTTGGGATCTGTTGGCCGACTTGCACGATATCCAGATTGTGGTGGATACCCCCAACGAGGGGAGGCCTTTCGTGTTCAACGATTCCTTGGCTGCAAGTGTAGGGGAAAGCACTGGTTTCGGGCCGACGAATCATATGCCACAAGAGAGGCGCATCCCACTATTCGACCATTCCTCCGCAGAGGAGGACCTCGCCGTGCCTGGCCTGAGCCGCATCGAGGTGTGCAGCTCCGAATGTCTCGACAAATATGATCTCTCGTATGACCAGATTCCCGAGTCGGACGGCTACCAGCCCCCGCCCTCTCTCATCATTGAGAATAAAGATGGGAAATCCATTACATTGAGACAGTTCGTCACCCAGGCACATGCATATCTGAACGAGCACATGGACGAAATCAATAGAGCTCTGCGTGCAACTAGTATATACGGAAAACAGGTGGACGGGGCGACGAGCCTCTTCTTCCGGCGCGTCTGGGCGAGCGGAACTGATGATAACGGCATTAGACTGTCTGTCTCGTTGATTCCTGAAGGGGGATGGGAGGACATGGATCGGTTTTGGGCCGCTCCATTGAATCAAGCTCGTCTGCGTGAACGGAGCTGTGGCCGCTGTTATAGGGGTTTCTCATGAGCGGATCGTTGGCGTGGTTCTTGCCGCCGACATAGGGTATTGCAGTGCATCCGCCGCGTATGCCCTAGGGTGTACAGGCATGGTATATAACATCGACACACCTCCATTCTTGTTTGTCTTGTTTGTCTTATTTGCCTGCCATATGCCGGACGAGTCCCACGAGTTCAGCCTTCTCAACGGTCAGTCACGCCGTAACTGGGGTCCCGAAATTCCTACCTACGGTGTGGGATTGCTACAGCTCCTGCCTGTACTACATACAAAATCCCTATAAGCTCTGGTGTCGGATTTTCCTGGCTCTCAACCGGTAGAATCTGGACTCGCCCTGGGAAATCCGGTTTTGCCCCAGATATCACCTAGGGCGGCCTCCTCAAGCTGTCTAGATGCCTTAGATGCCACAGATGCCCCAGATGCCACAGATGCCCTAGATACCCTGGAAAACCCGAGTTGAATGTTACACCCTACGTGACTCCTAGCTCGCCCAAGATACTGTCCGGAATCTCTGGGGCGGCCAAAGCCCATAGGGAAGGAAGTCGCCTTAGGTTCTGCCTGATGGCGCTCGTCCAGGCTTGTGCCTCCACCAACAATGGAACCAAAAGCAATATGTCAGCTAAGCCTCATTAACACCCCCTCCCTCACCTTTTTTATACAAATAACTAGCCTCGCCTCGATCCATCTGCCAACAGACCAGCAAACTCATGCTCAAGACCTTCGCACTCTTTACATGGCTTTGAGGTTCTCGCCTTGGTCTACAGTCCTGTGCCATCCACGTAATACCCCCATATTCAACTGTTACCCTCTTTCCACGCCTCAGTGTATCGAATAGCAAGGTATGAATCCGCTCTTTTCTCTCAGCAATAAAAACAGCTTATGAATTTAATCGTTGGTCGTGGCTCACAGTTACAACCCAGTTTCTCTCCAAGTCAGACAGTCATTCGGCCTTGTCTTCTCAGCCTCGCGGCAACCATATCGACAGTCCAAGTCATCCAAGGCTTCAGCCTGAAGAACCGATGGATTCTCTACACCAGCATGATGTTGGCACCAGCCCAATTTATCTCGGGGATTGGGAGCAACTGTCCGAGCAACATCGGCTTCCTAGCCTATAATTGGTACTCACAGGTCGTTTGGTACCGGGCCGTCAGGTCGAGGCAGATCCATGCGCTTGCCTTGGTACCAGTTCATCTTAACACAACTTTCGCTATTTCGTACCTTGGAGGCGTATCGTCTGGTAACATCTTCCTTGGACTTCTCCTCGGCTTCGGAACGGCTGGAGTCATGATCCTGAACTGTGTCTCGGCGTGGATAAGCTTAGAATATGTCTTGTTGCCGGCTGAGGGCATTTTGGGCCTGGCTCACACGGACACATCATCTTTATTCTTAGCCTGATTGAGCTGAAGACACCAGTCTTTCAAGAGAGGAGTCACAACCTCACAGAATTATACAGGCATTTACAGTATGGAAGCTAAGCACTTGAATTATCTAGTCCTAGCTATATTAGAGCATGATCTACGCCTTTAATGCATAATTCATCTACTCTAGAGTACAGGGCCTATCTTTACTATATTCAAGCCGTTAATTTCCCGCTGCATCATATTAACACGTACACCGTATTTGGCACACCTACTTAACATAGCTTTATAATGTTGGTGCCATGGCATTGTTGATGTGCGAATCTGTAGCCTAATAGAGGAAGTAGGACACTAGGTTCGTCTTTGTCTTAGCTATCGACGTTTCCAGCTCGTTAATAACGCCGCAGAGTAGCATTGTCTTGCCCTTGCCCGGGTCGCCTTTTACCCATAGCAGTCGGCTCGCTTGATCGTCCTGCCATCGTTGGAATTCAGAGCTGTTAAGAATCTAGTAACACGAATCTTCCAACAACCCATACTTAGTATCTTCGATATACTTCTTGTCGTTACGGGAGTCGGTGACGCGTAGGCGTTGGATACATCCCTAGTCTTCTTTTGTCAGATGGTAAGCCAGTTTATGGATATCCTATCTGGGACTGGAGAGGAGGACTGGGAGAAACTGTCTGTACC